GTTCCACCCTTGGAGCACAAGCCACCAAGTGTCCCCAGCAATGTCCCTGCCCTCCAGGAAGCAGCAGTCAGGACTTTTTGGAGGCACGAGGTCACATCCAGCACCCCAAGCACACGAGGCATCAATAAAACTTTCAGAGTCACATTTTGGGCCCTGTTAATGACGCCAAACGAGGTTGGCTGCGTTTGTCCCACTCTGTCCCCGGTGTCATCGGGATGGGAAAGCTGCAGCAGAGCAGGACTGGCATCCCTGGGACAATGTCCAGAGAGGGGACACAGTGCTCAGGCTCAGGTTGGTGACACAGGAACAGCGATGGCATCAAACACTGYGCCCAAACACACACAGGATCCATCACTAAACCAGGAATCCCATACAGGAATCAACCAGGACCGTTTCCCCAAACTCCTGGAGGGAAACACCCCTGTCCTGTTCCAGCCCCCCAGCACAGCCCCAGCTCTCCCAAAAGCTGCTTTTACCCCACAAATTCCTGACAGCAAGATGTAAAAATGAGCCTTGGCCAACAGGCTCGTGGCGCTCTCCAAATTYCTCCTTCGCAGCGCTCCCATTTTACCTCTCCTGCTCACATCAGCCAGATATCAGGGAGGCATTTCAAACTCCCTATGAGGCATTTTAAACTCCCTCTGAGGCATTTTAAATTCTCCTCTGAAGGAGTTTGGGGGCTGCTGTGCCATCTTTGCCACCTTCACAGCACAAGCTCGGAATGAATTATCACTCCCAGCTCCTCGAGCGGCATCGCTGGTTGGGGGTTGTTTGAGTGGAGGCTCAGCCACAAGTTATGCAGATCCCAAAACCCCAGAAAAAAAGCTCCAGCCAAACCAAAAACGCCTCTGTGGTGGATGTAAAGGCCAGAGTTAGGTGGCTGCTGACTTGTTGTGTGGGCACAGAGGTGAGGATGAACTTCCTCAAGTTATCAGGGAATCCTGGCATGGTTTGGGATGGAAGRGACCTTMAAGCAGGGACACCTTCCACTATCACAGAGTGCTCCAAACCCTGTCCAGCCTGACCTTGGGCACTGCCAGGGATCCAGGGTGACCTCAGTGCCTCACTGGAGCCATGAACCAACCCAGCTTTACCTCAGACCGAGCTTTTTCTGATGGCACGGGCAGCGCTGAGCCGGACAGAGCTCCGGGAACACCCGGGACACGCAGGGCTGACCCCGCAATCCCTCGGTGGGGACCCGGCTCCTCCTGCCCGGCCGCTCCCGTCCCGCAAATCCCCCAAATCCCCCGGCCGAGCTTTAATCCCCGCACCCAGAGCCSCGCTCAGMGCCCGTTTTACCCGAGCTCGGAGCCACGGGCCGCGGCTGCCACGACACCGAGAGGGCCCGGGGAGCGAGAGCCGGGAAAGGAGAGGAGAAAGCCAGGGAAAAGGGAGCGGGGATGGGAACAGYCAGGGAAAGGGAGAGGGGAGAGCGAGGGAAACAGGGAATTCAGGGAAGGGGCGGCC